AGCAAGAAAAAACAGAATCAGCAATTTTTGCCACACTGGATCAACAAAATGATGACAACGTGGATGTTCTGAGGAGCAAGAAAAAACAGAATCAGCAATTTTTGCCACACTGGATCAACAAAATGATGACAACGTGGATGTTCTGAGGAGCAAGAAAAAACAGAATCAGCAATTTTTGCCACATTGCAATAACAATGACGAAAACAACGTGGATGCAGAGAACAGACTCGCGCACACTTCAGCGAAAATGCAGACGACAGACAACAGTACATTCTACGAGCAATATTCTAAAGACAAAAAAAAGGCAGAATAACCAATAACTTCCACACTGGTGGTCACCATCCAGCATCCTGTTCGATATGGGACTCACAGCACTGCACACAACGCATGTAAAATACATTGTTTACCAATAACTTCCACACTGGTGGTCACCATCCAGCATCCTGTTCGATATGGGACTCACAGCACTGCACACAACGCATGTAACATACATTGTTTACATGAAATTTGGCGACTTTGGCGAAGATTGCCACCGTTAGCATGTGATGTGTTAATACGCCAGTCGTCACAATGCATAAAGTCAGTGTTGTTCATGTGTCTCATAGTGTAGAGCAGAACACATTCTAGTGCTATGGTGTTGTATGCTTTAAACAATTCACTTTACACCTCGCCTGTTAAAAGCCTTTCAGATATCATATATGAATAGTACCGTAAAAACTCGATTAATTCGCGGTAGTAAAAATAATTATTTTTTCAAGTGCACGAATTAATAAAATACATTTAAAAATTAGCGTTCGAAAATAAAATGGGTGCGCGAACTAATAGAGACTGCGAATTAATCGAGTTTTTACGGTATATACCGTCATAGCGTCAACAAGCAATGTGTTAATACAGGCTCCATAGCACCAAGAGCCAAATGATTTCCAAGACTTCTCCAGACCTTTTCCCAAACTTTCTTGCATTTTTTCAAGACATTTTGACCCTTAATTCAGGCCAATTAATTCACTAAAGCTCATCAAAGTTCTGAGGATATGGTAGTTCCCTGGAGAAAACGGGACTTTCTAAAATGAATTAAGAACTATGAAGAAATTTAAAGACTTTTCAAAGATTTTTTAATTTTTCCTGTAAATGAAAGGCAACTCAAAGATTTTCCAGACCACATAAGATCCAAAGACTCAAAAGATTTTCCAAACATTATGGATCCTGTAATACGCCAGTCATCATCAAGTCAGTAGTTATAAATAAATAAACGCTGCTCGGACTGATAAGTATGATATATTGAAGATAATATTTGGTAATCGTAGTCCTAAATAACTATTAAAAAGTCTGTGTTGTTCATCCAGGGCTATGCACTACAACAATTCAGGTTTTACAGAAGCCAAAATACACTTATACATGTAGCCCCCCAGTCGTCACAATACATCAAGTTCGATATGGTTTCTATTCATATAAAATATTTGTGTCTGTCTGCATGATATTTGTTATATATATAAATGTCTTATTTAGTGCTGTAGCTCATTCATTATTGTTATACTTCTGATTAACTTTTTCACCACCAGTTCCTTCTTTTCATTACAAATTCACAAAATAGGCTAGTTCCTAGTCTTCAGAAGCTTGGGACAAAAATAGCCAAACTTTTGAGTAAAAACTAAAAAATGACTCAAATTATATCTGTTGGCTCCAAAATAAGGGTTCATTTCCAGAAATATTGAAGAATATAAGAAAAAAGTGCAGAAAAATTTGGGCAAGAAAGTCTGGTGGAAAAAAGGTTGAAGCAGTTGCAGTTGATTACCTTTTCTAGGGTACTGAGATCCATAGGATAGAAGACGAACTCCGGATAATCCGGATGCTGATCCAACTGCACTGGTTTGTGAAACGGTTCAGACTATAAAAGAAAAGTAAAAAAAACAAATGAAGAAAAAAACATTGATTTTCATTGATTTCACATAAAGTAATGCGCCAATGTTTACTCAAAGCATATTTTCAAAACTTACATGTCAGAAATGATTAGAGGGTTAAAATAAATCAGCAGCGGTTACGATAGCCTATTTACTCATTAATCAATGTCAATGTTTACAAATGCCACAAAGAATGGAACGATTGCAAATTCGTCTTTGTGGCAATTATGAAATGATATCACACATGCAAAGAATTATAACATTTTTAGGAAAATTAGCATAATAATAATTTTAATTGAACTCTGACATGACAATAAATTAAAAAAAAAAAATATAGAATAGTAGCCTGCTGTATTTATCACCAATCAATGTCACAATCACCACCTGACCACAGACTAATATGGAGAGGGACGACAGACGCATGATAAAACAGAAAGGTAACTGTGCTATGACTATGATGTCACTGACAAAAACAGACATAAACCAAAAAATTGATTTATTGTATGCTGGATAAAAAAACAAATTTTTTTTGACCATAGAAACACCTTTGTCATTTACTTACGAGCACATGCGCTACAAATAGAGCAAATATTGTATAGTTATGTCTGCTACTTTAATTTGGAAAAGGTTAACAATTATGAGAATGGTGATGATACTAACCCCGCCATGTTTCATTCGCTGTAATGCAAACATCAATAACCTACAGAACTGGTCGCATGACAACTTAGATAATGATTCAGACTGCGTGTCGACACATTCTGCTTTAGTTACTTTCTAAAATGCAATAAAAAAACAAAATTTAGTGCAACAGCAGTGCCCTCACAGTACAATAGCGCCCTCATACAGTGCAACAGTGCCCTCATAGTACAATAGCACCCTCATACAGTGCAACAGTGCACTCACAGTACAACAGCACCCTCATGGTACAATAGTGCCCTCATACAGTGCAACAGTGCCCTCATAGTAAAATAGCGCCCTCATACAGTCCAACAGTGCCCTCATAGTACAATATCGCCCTCATACAGTGCAACGTTGCACTCATAGTACAATAGCACTCTCACATAGTGTAACAGCACTGTCATATACTGTAAAATACTTTATTTTAGCTCAAATTAATTTTCGCAGAAAACACTTTTCAGGCATTTTGTATGGAATTTATTTTCACTGATTTTTGTCAAGTTGAATGTAAAATGTAGGAAAACAGGTATATTCACTGGATCATTCCTTCAGTGAAAATAGCAAAAATTAATTCCAAGCGAAAAAATAAAGTATTCTAATAGTTTAAATTGTGCCTTTATACAGTGCAATAGTGCCTTCATATTGTGACAGTGCCTTTATACAATACCCATAAAAACTTCATGTCTTTATTAATAATCACCTCACATTCTGGACAAAACCAATCTCCTTCTGGTTCTATGGATAATTTCAAACATCGTACATGATATACTCGCGGACAAACTTCACAACAGATTACAGATCCTTCTTTATGGCAAATCCAACAGTAAAAGTCATTGCGAGAATCCTTAAGAAACAAACAATATTTAGAACTAAAATACAATATTTATAACATTTGCAGTGTTTCATGTCCTGCACAAACAGCAGAGCATAAGGCCAAAAAAAAAAAACTTATGTTGCCCTCAAGTCAGAAAATTGAAAAATTGGGTTGGATTTTTTTTTTTTTTTAAACTCGTGAAAACTAAGGGTATCGTAAATAGCCGAGGTATAGGGAAAAAAAAACGCGACCCGATATTTCATATTTTTCAGTCGGTCGTTGAGGGCAACAAAACAATTTTTTTTTGACCTAAACATGTATCATCAGATATTTTCCATTATGTCTATGAATAAAAACATTTCTAAAACTGTGAATTCTATAGTTTTTTCTGCAAAAACTTTGGTGCAACATTTCTAAATTTTTAAATATTTTTTAATAATTCTTCATAAAATTTTGAATCAAATTTCATAATTTCTAATGGCCATAACATTCTTTTGGAAAAGTAGAAAAGATAATAAAGATTTACTTTGTGGAAAGAGACTGATGCTCAAAGGTCAAACAGTTAATATGTAATATTATACATTTTTGAAAACTTACTAGCTCACGCACTGATTTTGGAATAGGATTTTTCTTTTTCTTGATAACAGGTGGAAGAGTTTCATCTTCTTTACTGCTGGTATTACTTGGTGTTGGACTATACATCGATAATTTCCTTTTATTAGCTGTTTTGATTTGGCTCTCTGTGAAACACATATTTAAACATTTTTATTTATCTGAATTCAGTGAAAATATTATTAATCACGAATTTGTATTTACAAAGTAAAGCTTTTCATGATACGACCATTACTGTATCCAGCGATGGTAATTACTGTAGAATACTTTATTTTCGCTTGGAATTTATTTTCACTGTTTTTGCTGAAAGGATGATTCCGTGAAAATAAAATCCAGCGAAGATACTTTTCCCCCCTATATTTCACATTAAACTCGTCAAAAATCAGTGAAAATGAATTCCATACAAAACACCCAAAATGCTTTTTCAGCGAAAATAAATTTCACAGTAATTGGAAGCCATCTTGTTTCCCAGAAAGCAGATTGTTGGCTTGGGTAAGTGAATAAATTATGATAAATTTGGATGATACAGCAACTACAAGAAATAAATGTCACAGAATACATCATCTTAGATGTTATGAATATATCAAGATCAAATTGAACAATATATATCAATGAATCAAAGTTAAAATGTAAATAGCTCCCGTGTGATCAGAGCATGTATTATAAAGGTATAGGCTTTGCCTAATAAGTGAATGTAATTTCATGTAGGTCAATCCATCAATAAAATTGATCAAGATGTCTGAGAATCTATGACATACTGTATATAGAAACACATAATTTTGATATGGGCATTTTGAAAAACATGCAAGGACACTATACTTGTAAACAAAGGGCACTAATGA